AGGGCCAATGGTGGCCAGGGAAGTCGTCCAAGGTCACCTGAGCAAGCGTCGTGGGAAGCTAGCCGTCGGCGGTAGGTGTGATTCCCTCCGATCGATATACGCGTGAACCTACAACCAATGTGAGAGGGGGACTTATGACAGGCCGCGCCGAACATGCACCCAAAGTCTAATAATTGTCTACCATAGTGTGCGCCCGTCAGTCGATTCGTCAACAAGTCCGGGATGCAGTTCAGCCACAGACGGGGGCAGACATCAAACTTTTCGACTTCGACCTCGAGCCGTGTCACACCTGGGCGGCCCCTTGTCGCGACAACGACGCGGTCACTAATCTTGCGCAAAGTGATCATCAAAAGTGAGTTGCCTCTCGCATTATTGAAGGTAACCCTTAAATGCAGTGAGTCCAAACATGCCTTGTACGACGAGACACTTGTCTTTACGCGCAACCGATCCCATGTATGGCAGTGGCATCCATCGGTACGTCTCAGTTTCTCTCTCCAGCCCGATGTCTGAACATTCAGCTTGGACAATCACGGGTCTTGTGGTCTCTCGTCCATCTGTTGGTTGGTAGTTCAGTCGGTTGTGAAGTTCAGTTACGCTGCTCCATGAGCACTCTTAAACGGGCACATCCGGTGCGCCGCCGCAACAGATGCCCGGGCTGGATAACCCCACGGGGTCCTTCGAATGCTGACTATGGCAGGTCGGACAGCCACGACTGCCACAGAGTTCACACCATAACTACTTGACACTGCTTTGTTCTGGTACGCTGTTGCGCGTAGCGTTGCACGAGCAATAGTCTGCGTGCGGTGAGCAGCTCTGGAGCAGGCGATGGTGCATGCACAAGGAAAACCCAACCGGGGCTCTGTCGGGTCGCTGTCGGCGTGTGCCTGACTGGGTTCGAATTGCCAACCAGACTGACGTTCGGCCGGTTCATATTGACGCAATGAGCAAAACCAACCATTAGTTGACGGTGGGATCCAAGGCCGAAGATGTCACCCTCTCATTTTATGTGGTGGTGTCGACCGGCGTCGTCAGGGTTATCATTTCGGCAGGTGACCGACCTGGGACATTTGCCCATGATGGATAGTTGGAGGTGAGCACGGCATGAATTCTGCTAAAGGTCAATCCTTAGCCGGTCTTTCATAATATCCATTTTACGCAGCTGCTTGCCCAAGGAGTTCGGCAGGATTTGACTCACGTTCCACCATTCGTGGCCTGCAGTCATAAGCCAGCGTGAAATAGACAAGTAAAAACTTCTAAGCCCCCTTCGGAGGCGGGCTATTTCTCCGCGGCAGTTCAGGACGCTATAAAGTACACGGGGGCTACGGAAAATTCTCCAATCTGACTGATCTTCTCTCAATGCCAAATTCATGGCCTTTCTATGCGAAAGGCTGTCTACACGCGCATTAGAAATCATACAAGAGCGTATGTTCAGATTCCAAAACCACCAAGACTACAGCTACTTATTGGGGGCCCCTAAAGGTACAGATCCGGAAGGCACGCTGTCTGTGAAAGGGTTTCATCACCACACTCATACACCACACACTGAAGGAGCCGAATAGTTGCTTGATATGGAGACGATCAACCGGCAGCGCGGCGACGAGAAATTGCCCTGCGAATATGAGGCCATGGTCGTTGACTGCTACCTGTCTTCTTCTTATGAGGATCCCGAACCTCTGACCTGGAATGGGCCCAGTATCCTATCACCGCGTACGCATCCCGAGGATATCTCTGGGTATGTCTGTGCCATGTTGTCATACCCCGTCGATTGGTGAGAAATGCACCTTACCGTCGTTCATAAGTACACGTTCGAATCGGTCGCCATCTCGCCGTTATTCCTTCCGCACGTGGGGTGCACCCTCAGCAACTGTAGACGACTCCGCAGTCAGATCTGGGAAGCAATCTGTCCATACGTGCGAGCCATCGATCGTTCAGATTATCGGTTTCAAATTTTTGTGCGGCCAAGGAGCGAGCGGGAGCCGGATGCCACAGGAAAATTAGGATTATTTTCAGGGTCGAACACAATCAATCCTAGAAGGATACTGGAGTCAGGACGTTTTGTTGAAAACACCGCTTGCGGGTATTAGTATAAAGAGCATACTGGACTCTTCTTCAGCTTGTGATAAGAGGTTGGAGGGCCGAATTCAGGTAGCCTGTATTGTTTTATAGATTTATTGTTTTATGGATTTATTGTTTCATGGATTTATTGTTTCATGGATTTATTGTTTCATGGATTTATTGTTTTCTTGTTCTTGAGGTATCTCTTCCGCTTCCATACGCAAAGCCACTCGTCTACCGACGGACCGAGAACCCAGATCAGAAATCCAGCCCCAATTGTTCTGGGTTGCAGTCAGGCAAAATAGCCTGAGTGCACCTAGTTCGACCAGTCCCTCGTCGGTCACCGTTGAGTGCCACAAGGATCGGCGAGGTTACACTCGGCCCCTGTCCTGCCCATGCCTAGAACCGTGGCCTCGATGTTACCTTCAACTTTGGGCTTGAGTTGGGTGGTCCGTTTCGCGCAGGGGTGGTGCATGGTGTCACCTCGATTATAAGTCAACAAGACAGCCGGCGTTTATAAAGCATCATGTGCGTCCTAGGCTTGGGCCTCTCGCCTTCGCGGTATGCACACATCTCACAGAAATCTCATTCCTCCTATCATCACTTGTACCCTCCGACAACAATGAAAACTCATCTGCCACGACTGAACGAACTCCGTAAAAGACTGGCATCGGCTGAGAAGAAGTCGCATTCCGGTACCCGGTCGAATGCCTCACACTTCACAGAATCAGCTCCGCCAGGCGACAGGGAACCGAACGTCCAGGCCGTCTCGGGCGATGGCATATTGTCCCAAGAAAACGACACAAGCGACAGAGATGCAACGTGGGAGGTCGACAGCGTGGTCACAATCGAGCTTCCTGAGCCTCCACTCGACGTGCCTGATATGAAGGCTCTCACATCGTTGATCTGCGAGTATGTCTGTCCTATGATGTCCCGACACCGGCTGTCATTCGCCCTCGAACGGTGCTGATCTGTTTCTTCCAGTCTCGAAACCAGAGTCCGGTAAGCTTGTTTCCGTTGCGCTATTAAGCGACATTCTACGAGCCTCGAGCTGACGGAGAGCTATAGAAAGCTGGAAGAACAAGTGAAGGGTCAAAGCCAAGAAAATCACCGCCTGCACAGGAGAGTGAGCAGCATCTATGAGAGTGTCCCGACCTCTCACACCAAATCCCGTCGCTCAGCTCGGTACAAGGAGATGGACTCGGAATGAACGTCCCTGCGCGCAGAAGGGAACGGAACATTTCTCATGCCAGGCCGGGAGGGCAACAATGGGACAACGTCTCAAGTTACATCACCTAGAACTACTGTCTTTCACCAAGCTTGTCCGGCCGGAATTAAGATCTGCTCGATTCTGAGAGTATATAGCTATCTTCATTTAAGAGTGAAAGTTTGTGCTGTTTGTGCTGGCTGCAGTAGAGCGAGGGCAACCTGGTTTGTCGATCCCGAGATGAAGGAATACGTTGTCTTAACAAACTTCCACCCCGTAGCTGCATTTGGTCGTCGGTGGCGTAAATGGTTGAACGAATCAGCCGCATACTTAATCATGACTCCAGCGGTTCGGTGAAGTGGGTCTCCATCATGTCCGCGAGACAAAGACGCGAGGATGTGTCCAACCTGTGTCGCACCCTCCCCCTGCTGGTACTATCCCCAGCGTTTGAGCCCATCGAAGCTCCACTGTAAGTTCAGTTATCCGTCGGAGGTGATCGGCACATCCTGGTGTGACGTGGGAGGCAGATCACGTTTGTCGCTGCCTCGCGACGTCCACGTTCGATGGCCAGGTCACCATGGCGACAACGTCGTAGACATTTTAAACTTCCAAGCCAAAATTCTTTTTATTTTTTTGATTCGTTTGCGCCACAAAGTGCATTGCGAGTGTTCTCTTTATCTTCCCCGATACCACTAAGCCTCGCAATGGTTAACGATGTGGACTCCTGACCCCTCGGCATAGCTGACTCAGCAAGCGATCGGTTTGGCGCTAGTTATTTAACCTGGCGGAGGCAAACAGCCAGACAGAAGTATGACCAATTGGCCATGACGCCAAGTAACGTGATCACGCGTTTGCACACAGCCCCGCACTATGCTTTTCCGTATTTCTCCAAACTAGTTGCACATGGTCACATTATATACATTGTTACAAAAGGAAAGCCTCCCAACTGCCTGCTGGAGGGCCTAACATATCTATCATGAGAGAAAAATAGAACCCTCCTTCCAATGCGTATCGAATGTACCCAGTGGCTCCGGCATGTAAATTAGGTTACGCCGTGCCCGTTGGTGCCGGCACACGATACTGCTGGCTTTACACCATGTCCGGTGGCCGACATACTGGCTCGGGGCGTTTGATAGACGCCTCGGGTACACAGTTCACAAGCCGGTTTGTGCTCCGACCGCGAGCGTGCGTGGTCTCCTGGGGTGGCACACCGTCCGGGTGGTAGTGATAGCGCAGTCGATCCAGGGCGCTCCGGAAGTCATCCAAGATGATAGTGTCGCTCAGGCACTTGAAAACAAACGCTAACTACAGCAGGGTCAGCATAATGACCTTTCGTCATTGGCGGCTGTTTACCTTCCAGAAAGGTTCCATGCCCGGGGGGTAACCTAGGCGATTCTCGACCCGGATCGCACACATGTCCACAATCGCAAATACAACGGAGATCACCATGAACAAGAGCATGACGCCGAACCGTGGGCTGATGCGGATCAGCTGCATCAGCGAACACCCATAACCCCGCTGGATGGTGTACAGGAGAAAGCAGGTGGTGAAGATCCACCAAGGGTCCCTAGATCTGGATCAGCAACGTGGGGTGTGGGGGAGAATTGCGCTCGAACACCGCACCGGAAAAGCGGCTCGAGTGGCCGAGTGGTGGTATATAAGGCCTGGCCCCGATTGAAAAAGGCAAAGTTGGCATAAATTTCGACGACCCAGTACGGCTGGGCCGCCAGCAGGGTGATCAGATACAGTCGCGTGCCCCAAGGGGTGAAGAACCCGCGAATCTTCATCCATGCAATTACGTTGTGGAGGGTGTGCGAAATCGTGAGGCCGATGGCTGTGGCCGAAAGATACCAGCCCTGGGCAGGCGCATGGAGAAAGATGAACGTTCCGTGCCCGAGGGCCAGGGCGAGCTAAGCGTCCACATCAGCACGGGATAGTGCCCCATTCGCCGCAACGAGGCAGCACAACTTACCTCTGCCACGATGAGTCTGTGCAGGAACACCCCTTTCTTCATGTTGGCCGCGGTGATGGCAATCATAATAATAAGGGAGCCCACCAGGAATCCTTGTCCCCACGCCTCCACGACGAGGATACCCGGGTCAGTAGGACGCTGGCCAGCACTTGGCATCATATCATCGCTCTCCATTCGACTGTGTCGACGTGGAATGGAAACGACCCTCCATGAGTGATGGGGTATCTTTATATTATCGGGTGAGATTGGGTAATGTTCGCCGCTCAGCATGGTCAACTGCCGTGGGCGACGGAGAGTAGGAGGGAGGTCGATCGACTATGACTGTGACCGGCCAAAGATCTATGGGAGGCCAGCCAGAGCCTCTTGCTGTTTTGTAGGGGTTCTCAGGAGTAATGGTAACCTTCGGAGGTCCAGCCGCGCCTCAACCGTGGGCTTCTTTGCCACTCCGGATGAACAGTCGAATACCGTAACCTGTAGAGTACCATCCGGCCTTAACCATTAAGGGAATAAGCCGAGACTGTAGGATTCCGGAAAATCCATTCTTACCTACTATACGTCCAGCTGCAAGAACCAAGGCCGACGGAGGAATAGACTTTCCGTCTATTTACTTTAGCGTCATATGAGATAAAGAAAGGGAGGAAGGGCACAGCGACCACGAAGATGGCCCCATTGAAAAGGAAATTCCACTTGTACATACCGGTTTCCTTATCTTACGGCCCGAAACCGTTTAGTAAGAGACATCCTCCGGTCAAGGATCAAATAACGAACGGGGTTAGCCGAAGAAGTACTTCCCGACATCCGCACGGTTCACATCAACGGTCCGTAATCCGCACGATTGCCAGGACGGTTACAATTCCAGATTTCTAGCCCCTAGGGGTGCTACTGTTTCACAGGCTTCAACTCTATATATATCGGGTGGATGTACTCCCGCGATTGCTAAGCTGTACCTCGACCATTTCCACACGTTCTTCCCCAGGCTTTTTAAAGTATATTTGACTCTAACACTCCACCTTACATCCTGTATTACTGATGCAGAAGAACACACTAACAGGGGTTGGGCCTCCGGCTAAGATAAAAGGTTAGTCCCTTCACCCAACAATGGTTTGGGGGAACTGACATGGTCAGCTGCAGCCTCGAGGGCACCGTCCAGGAAACCAAGAAATTACCCTCATGGGGGTGTTACCAGAGCGCGATTCTACCAAGCCCTCTACGAGGCGCGGCTTGAAGTTCAGAGGCTCGAAGGAGGATTGTGGTCACAAAATCATGCAGGGTCGATGTGGGTTCTGCCGCAGACACTTCAAGAACTCTACAGCTTACGACAGCTATGTCGACTTCAATCCACCGCCCTGGCCCGAGCTAGACGACTGGCCGAGACGGAATGGAATAGACCTCTAAGAGAGCCAATGGAAAATATGGAAGCACTTAAATGTGACCGATGTGGAACAAAGGCACTGGACGTGGTCCTCGCTCCGTGTTTCCATAGCTTATGTCCGGGTTGTGGTGGGGCTGGAGCACCAGGCGCTTCGGAAGATATGTTTAAAGCCTGCTATGTCTGCTCTCTCCACAGTTTCCAGCAGCCCCGAAGGACTTAGATGTACTGGCTGCTGCCTTTCGTGCGGCTGTGTTGATTGGAAGTGACATTGCCTTGCGGAAAGAGATGCTCACGAGCGTGAGGGCGAATAAGAGACGATGAATGAGGGAAGATGAATAACGGAGATTATTATGATACCATGGTAGCAAATACATGTGTTCTTGTAGTCTAGAAGTCGATGCCGCTCTTCACTGCATATTATTTGCAATTCGTCAACAATAATGAAGTTCTTTCACATGAGCCGAGAGAAGAGAAGCAGGAGGTGAGGTATTGCGATAGGTAACAATCCCGGTTCCACATTCTTTAGGAACACGACAAGTCGGTAATAATTGGATCTGGCATTGCGAGGGATACAATTAAGGGCTGGGAAATCCATTCAAATATTCAGTAGTCTCCCCATTATGCTTTGCTGCCAACCCATGAGAAAGCTTTCGTGTAGTCGCTGTACGATTGCCTTATCGCTGATTAGCCTCTGTGCGTTGCAACTTGGGGAAGCGCATCAAACTCTGCAAGAGGGGGAAAAGATAACAAGGAGCGGAAAATTTGTCCTGAATATATGTAACGTTCCGGGAAGATCGCCCTGGCCAGCTGCATGAGAATTTGTCAGTGCCCTGGTGGATCCATACCAGTGGCAATCCTACTTGGCTAGCAGAGAAATAGGGGATTCTTGATAAGAGTGGACGTGGCCTTTCATTGCTGGACTACTCACCATGGACAACCGACGGCGGACAATCAGCAGCATCTAGCAGTATCTGAGACAACCGACAGCACCGGTCGGTTGCGAGACCGGGTGGAACCTACCATGCCAACAGACTGCGACGGAGGTCGCCAAGAACCGTTATTGAAAGCACAAAGCTGCCGCTCTGTGGGCCGCTGCTACTGTAGCATGGAAATTCAAAGCACTGATATAAAGAAAATGGGGCCGCAGGCGAGTTGGGCGCCGGCCCCGCTGTAGGCTGGAGGGCCGTCCTGTCCGTAGAAGATGTAACCTCGAAATCTCGAGCAGTTGATAAGACTGGCTAGCCCGGTGCCAATGTCACTGACGCCTCTGCCCCCAACAGAAGCAGGCCCGATGACATTGAGCGACAGTCTCGGCAATATTAGATTCCCTCGTAATCTTACCTACCATTGAATTGATTCCTTTTGCATCCTTTTCCCTCCCCGCGACAGCAGAATCATGGCGTCCGAACTGGGGGTCACTGCCGCATCCACGCCCCAGCCAGCCTATACTGCGGTCAGTATATGGTGGGCCTGCTGGGCAGGCGCCTGGACGGTCATTATTGCCTCTGGTATGGTCTATCTCATCGCTCATCGCAACACGCCTCCCCTCCTGCTGCGAGGCCTCGGGCTGTCACTGTCCGCCGTTGTGTTGCTCCATGTCTATTGGGCTTCAGTACAATTCGGAACCATGATTGGCACCATCATGCCAGGGGATGCCGAGTACTGGATTATGGGCACGTATCTGCCGTGCGGCATTGCCCTGTTTCACGCGTCGAACAGTCGCTTCTATCATGTTGCAAAGCTTCAGGAAGGCTATATCATTCGCAGCAGTGGTGGGAATGATTTATACTCCACGAGGGGTAAGCTCGGTGCCGTAGACCGGTTCCGTCGCCTTACATACACTACCAAGATCCTCGTGTTTGTTACGGTGGCGTCGCTCGTTCAGGTAAAACGGCCACCGCCTACTCCTATTGACAATCGTATCGGGGTCTAATTGAGTCATTAGGTATTTCTCACGGTCTTGATGTGGCTTATCTCCCGCAAATGGCACCGCACTTGGGGGATTCCAGGCACCGAGGTCCATGGGACCGAGATGCAGCAAAAGTCGGAAATGGGCCGGGGCTGGGAGTGGTAAGAACGCTTCCAACATACGCCCGGCGCATGTACGGCGAGAGCTGTGTGCTAACCGATATGCAGGTGGCCTGGCGTGTTTGGACAGGTATTCTGGTCGTGGATTGTGGGCCCTGTCGTTCTCTGGAAATCCCGTCACATCCACGACACCCACGGCTGGCGAATCCAGACGATAGGCTGCGTCATCGCCAAGTGAGTCAATAGGTCCGATGAGGTCTGTCGCACGACTAACCCGTCATCTAGTCTCCCGGCGACGCCGATGTGGCTCATCGCCCTCTATGTTCCCACCATGGAGCCAGTCAATCAGTACTGGCTACCGCCCCAGTGGTAGGTGCTCTCTGTGACCAACAGAAAAATAGAAACGAAGAATAAAGGAATCAGGAAAACGGGGCTAACACCTGTAGGATTTGTCTCTCTATCTGGGTGATGGAGGTTTTTGCTGTTCTCCTGCCGTGCCGGGAGGTAATGCGCTATCACGCTATCCGACAAGGGGCCTTCAATTCGATCGCACGGTGGGAACCAAATACTAATCCGTTTGCTGATGGCACCACGGCCCGCAGGTCAGCCTCCATTCTTGTCGAGCTCACAGGGTCTGGCCGGGAATCATGGAGTAGATCTCTTGGCTCCAGCTCCAGCTCTCGGGATAGCATATTCACCAAGCGTGCACTTGAATATGTCTTGGCGCGCAATCCTGCCCCGCTGCAGGATTTCTCTGCCCATCGCGACTTTTCCGGAGAGAACATAGCTTTTATGACCCGGGTGGCAGAATGGAAGAGCTCGCTGCCCCATGCGGTCTGGGATAGCAGAATCTCAGACTATGGAGATCTTACCGACTTGATTCGGGGGCAGTTTCACCGCGCGCTGTGTATTTACACGATGTTCATCAGTGATCGCGCGCAGTTTCCAATCAACATCTCTTCGCAGCACCGGAAGGAGCTGGAGAACGTTTTTGAGGGCCCTGCTGGGCTTCTGTTTGGAGACGCGCGCCCGGCCAATCCTGCCGTTCCCTTTGATGCGCCAGGCTATGCTCCCACGCCCTCAGCGTCTCCGATCGCCCCCATAAAGGCCGACTCCGGTTCGTTATTCACCGACAACAGTCGGGTGCAATACTGGGGCCAGATTCCCCAGACATTTAATGCGACAGTCTTTGACCGAGCCGAGGAGAGCATCAAAGACCTCGTTCTCACCAACACGTGGCCTAAGTTTGTTCGAAGTTGCGGCATCGCAGCTGAGGCTCATTTGCTGGCGGGAAGCTAGAGTCCTGCGTAGTTAAATGCGGAATGAAGTCGCCAGCGATGGAAGATTGCACTGAATGGCATCTGTCTGGGATGTCGACTGAATACTATAGATTAAGACTGTCTGGTGGAGTAACTCATTGGACCACATTTTCTATCGGAACGTAGCACTGTCTTGGTACTTTAGAGGAGCCGAGCAGTAAGTCGAAGAGCATCTGGTCAGATGAGCCAATGACGCCGAAATTATTGACTCAGCCACCGCTTACGAGTCTACTGTTCCCCGCTCAAAACCGCGTTCTACGGGTATTGTAGCAGCGCTTGGAGCGCTCTGCGTTCGAGTCTATCCAGATATGGCACCCCCAGCTCGGCCAGTCAAACGGATAGGATTGTGCCGAGAAGGTGGAATTGCACATGGCGTTTAGAGCGCTCCAGCGAAGAAGCCGTATCCATCCCGCATCTAAGGCTTCGATCATCCCAAAGGGGCTTAATCGGTTGCGAGCTGACATTGAGGGCATCCGTCACGCAGCTGTGCACCGCCAGCTACAGGATCATCGTCGTTTACTACAGCAACTGCACTCAGCCCGAGTGTTTGCAACCGTATGGCTGGGCGACCCGCAGTGTGGAATGGGGATCGAGCAGTGTCAAATGCGGATCAACCGGCTTTTCAGCGGATGGAAGGCACACGCCCGCCGTTTCCATGGCAATCTGGCTGCGCGGATGGGATGTAATAGGATGCCTGAAGGCCGACACCGCCAATTTCTCTTGCTCGAGGCGACAAGGAGACTCTTGGAAAAGACTAATCACGATTGTGTTGGGCAAGTGGACTACATCCTACGAGCGAGCTTTCCCTCATTGTATACGAAGACGTGGACAAGGCATGCACGGCATGGGAACGGCACATCATCTTGAATACAGTGAGGCCGGGAGCGAGATAGAATGTATGAGTCCTTCTTATAGCTCACAGTCGGCGGAATTGCCAGGCTTAACCTACGTCGACCCACAAATGGCACCATGTGGTAGAGGCTGGCTTGCAAGTATCAGTAGTCACCCTGCAATAATTCTTGGTACAGTCACTTGTAATTGAACTATGTCGCCATCTGTGAATCTTATATCCGATTCGCCTTTATCTTCCCCCAGTGAGCTACGGTCGTCAAGCTGCGATTATTGATAGTCGCATCATACGCAACCATTATCACCAATAGATGGTGATTGGCAGTACTACAATTTCGTACGGATGTCTTTCTGTTATATGACGCCCGAGTCTCCGTTCGTTGCGCGGTACAATAGGTATTCGAAAAGCCTTCAAAGATACCGGACTTCCCCCAACGACTTTTGGGAAGTTTTTGAAAAGGCCTCTATATGTACATGGATGGAACTGTCGGATGAGCGCCTTCCCAGGTCTATCTAGAGCAAAAAGCTTGGCATGAGCGGATACCAGTGTTGAGGGAGTCTGGCTGGCGTGGTAGGACCTATCTAATATCGATGACTATGAGGTTACTAACTAGGAGGAAAGAGTGAAAGCGTATATGGCCGTTTCCGGCCTGGCTCTATTTCATACTTTAACAGCAACCACGAAGGAAAAAAGTACCTCACATAAGTTCCTGTATCCAGCCAACGTGTCTGCACAAATATCACAATTCAAAAGTCCCCGAGAGCAACAAAACTGGACACTAGGCTCCAGCAAACATACCAGTATTCGTCAGCAAAGTACAATCTGACTGAGAGATGAGAGAGAAGCATGCATTGTTCGCATTTGCGCAGACCTTGACAGGTTGCCAAAACAGACGAGACTTCTGAAGTCATTGCCATGATTTGCTGTAAGAGTCGGCAACACGACCGTTGCGAGTATAGGTACTATCTACTAAATGGCCAATCACATGTGGGAACCCAAGCGGCAGCAAGGAATATGGCAACCAACAAAAACAGTGCCAACATATCTCCCGCGATCGTTTTCTCTTTCATTTCGGAGCAGGTGTGACATTGAAGTGGTGGGGCGCCGAACGGGTTGATTATTTCGTTGTCGTTCAGCCGGGGGTCGCCAGCGAGAGAGTAGTATATCGGCGTGTCTCTTTCCTCTTTTGCAAACCAGAGAGCAGACCGACCGTGATTGTCCTTCAAATTGACCTTTATTCCACGATGTTGGAGGAGCAGCTTGAGCATTGCCAAATGTCCTTTGTATGCCGCTATGTGAAGTGCGGACCAACCGTCGTTGTCTTGTGCATTGATGTCAACCCTACCTCGTCGCAGGAGAAGCTCCACAACTCGCAAATATCCTTCATCTGACGCTTCATGAAGCGCGGTGCACCCGTAATTGTCCTTCCTATTGACATCGGTGCCACGATGTTGCAGGAGCAGCTCGACAATTGGCAAGCGTCCATTTTTTGCTGCTTCATGAAGAGCGGTTGACCCGTGTTTGTCCTGCGCATTTACATCAATTCCAGGAAGTTGCAGGAGCAGCTCCACAACTGGCAAATATCCTTTTCCTGCTGCTATGTGAAGTGCGAGGAACTTGTCGGTGTCCTGGGATGCAGCATCTGCTCCGGACGCAAGCAGCTTGCTAACGGCAACGCCCGGGTACTCGTAGGCTGCCCACATAAAAGGAATATTTCCCAGTCCGGCATCAATGTCGGCATCATTGTCTCGGGAGAGCTGTGTAGCGGCTACCCGATGGTCTTCGCAGGCAGCTAAGTGCGAGCATACATCAGGTGTAGAAGGATCCTGCGTAAAATCATGGTCGCAGTTATCTTGGCCCATTTTGGTAGCTGTAACGATGCAGACGAACAAAGAAGTATCTGACCAGGTCCTTGCCGTCAAGCCGATGAAGTGCAGGAGTTGTCATGTTTTATATCCACTGACGCTCTTATTTTGTTCCCGATGACGCTGTTCTTTAATCCCTTGAAAGCGACTTTTAGCGGTATGGTATGACCCGGTCACATTCCTGGATTCCTCAATATTTATTTTCAATATCGTTCCCCGAATGACCGGTTGCTCCAAGATGACGGAACAGGCTCCGCGGAACGCTTGCAGGGCTCCCAAGAAACCATGTGGCGGTCCTCAGAGCACGCTCCCACGTTCTATAAGGCCATTTGCTAAACCTTCGCCGCCACTGAGCTAGGACCCACCTCTCTTCTCCACGAACATGTCTCGCGTCCCACAATCAACCCAAAGAAGAGATAGGGAGAGGGTAGGAAAAATAGGAATGGAAAAAGTGTCTCAGCGGGACCTCGACCAAAGTTATTATTAACACCGCCAAAATATAGCTAGTCCTGATGATGCTGAGCATCTCCATTGCTCCATCCAAACCTGATCTGCTACACAACATATTTTCCAGAACGCTTCATAACGCCCACACTTTGTTTCCATTAGCCACCGTTCGGCTAGTGTTTCAATTCTAAAATCTCTTCACACTGATGAAGGTAATCTCGTACAGTCTCCCGTATGTGGCCTCTAATAGCGTTGCCTGCAGAGGACTAATCCTCCTTGTTCCTCTATGGCTTGAACCAAGTCAATCAAGATGCTTCCCATACCCAGCGTCCGGCCTCGCTCTCAGGATAGTCAGCAGGTAGCTTTCTGATTATTCTGAAAAGCGTCGAGTGAGACATTACTCCGCGTGTGCCCTAGTAGAGATACAGTAGATGATGATGATGATGATGATTCATACGCTGGCCCCTCGCTTGAGGCGATATGCAGGATCCACTATCTGCGCTCTCTATATACAACCTTGAACGTGAACTATTACTTTCCTGACGAACTTGGAGCCTCGTCAAGGCCTGTGTGGGCCGGTGCCTGGGGTTGTGTTCTGCCGCCCTCGTGGCGCGCGACTTCGAAATCTCTGCGGTGCCTCCGCAAAGTCCAGCACCGCTCCGAGGATGCTACTGTCGGGCGGAGCATCTTCCAACCTACCTTTCTTACCTTGACCTGCTCCTCCCAGCATCTCTGAAATGTTGTTGAACGCTCTCCCAATCTTCTGCCGCGTGTCTTGGCGCAGCCCCTTCAGTTGCGGGCAGTCGATCAGTACATGGACCACGGTCTCTATTCCTCCACACCCGCGTTGTGCGTGGTCTCGAAATCCGTGCCGCTTGCCGTGTGTCGCGAGCCATGAGTGGCCGGTCCGGAGCTGCGTGAGCAGGTAGGCTCGGTTCCGGGGAAGTGAGCCGTATAGCCGGCGGGTGCGGCTTGCGGGCAGGCCTTGATCAATCTGACGGAGATGTCCTCCCTTTGGGAGGCCCTCCACTCATGTTCCCATTCTTTGCTGATCTTGTTGCGGATATGTCCTTTCTCGCGCGAGAGAAGGCGTCGGAAGGGGTGCTTCTCTTCCAGGCCAACTGCCTCCTTAGCCAAGCGGTCCGCGGTGTCATTGCCGGGGTCGCCGCAGTGTCCCGGGACCCATTGTAGTCGCAGTGGGATTCCACGCGCTTTCAGCTCTCCCGCCGACTGGTGGATGGCCTGGGTAATGCGCTGGCCGGACTTGTTCCACGAGTTCGCGATCACCTGCAGCGCCGACATGCTATCGCTGAGGATGGTGGCTGGGCCTCGGGTCGTTGTTGCAGCAGCTGGACTTTTCTGTGCTAGTTGGAATACCAGCCCGATGGCGTAGTAGATTGCCATGAGTTCTGCCGCATATACTGACCAGTAATCCATTAAACCGATACTGGTCTGTCGGGATCCTACAATCTGTTGGTTGTGGTCCAGGGCTACTGCTGCTGCGCCCAGTTGGTTCCGTTGTCCGGAAGCGTCGGAGAAGACAGCAATTTCAGTCATCGCTTGCCTTGTCAGAGCACTAGTTTTGGCCATTTCCCGATCCGGTTCAATGTCGATTTCCGTGAACGACGGAGTCCGCCATGGCGCTAGCGGTTTGGGATCGATGATTCCCAGGGCCTGCAGGCGGCTGAGGTCCATCGTTCGCATGGTCTCTGCTAGGGGGAAACGCTGGCCAGTCCCTGTGTGTGTACTCCGTGCTCTCGCTCGGGCTATTACCTCGTAGACTGGGTGGTCCGCTGGTAAGGTGCTGAAGCGGGCGATCACGGTCTGCGCCCGCTGCCTGAGCCGCAGGTGGGTCAGTAGTATGTAAGCTTCCACTTCGAGTGCAACTGAGGATAGGGTGCGGAAGGCTGGCTGCGGCTCCTAGGTGGTTCTGCTGGCCAGATGCATCGGAGAAAACCGTGGTTCCAGGCATGTCACGTCTGGCCGCGGCGTTTGCCTTGGCCTTTTCTCGGTTTGGTTTGATCTCGATCTCGGCGAACGTTTGCTCTCGCCAGGGTGCTAATGGCGTGGGGTCGATTGTTTCCAGCGTTTGCAGGCGGCGGAGGTCCATTGTTCGTAGTGTCTTAGCCAGTGCGGAATAGCAACGGTGTCCGAGATGTGTACTGCGGGCCCTTGCCCGGGCCATTAACTCATGGATTGGGTGATGTTCCGGCGCGGTGCTGAGGCTGGGCGCGATGAGCTGGGCGCGTTGCTTCAGCCGTAACTGAGTTGGTAGTGTGTAGGATTCCACTTCCAGTGCCTGCGTTGATACTGTTCAAAAGGCTGAAAGTATCCGTATCAGAGCCTCTCACTGGATGGTTCCCAATTTCTGCAGGTGGGTCTTATCCTTTGAGGATTGTGCCACACGGTAGATGCATAGTCTACCACCGGTACCACGCAGGCTTGGTACAGTTGTCTCATCTGTTCCGGTCGTAGGTGCCGAAGTCCCCCGAGTGCGATGTTGACTTTGGTTGCTCGTTTAAGCACTTGCTGGACATGCTCCTTCCATCGCAGTTCTCTGTCAAAGACGACCCCGAGGAGCTTCACCGCTGCGGTGGGCCTGATGATCTTGCCGTGGATGTTACAGTAGAAGCCCAATAATATGTTTCTCTTGTTGGGCTGAGAAATATCCCGTAGTAGTGTTTATTAGGCAGAAGCCATCAGTGGTCGCGCACGGCGGCACAGCCTCAATGCTGCCATTGAATCCTCTTTTGATAGTTGGATGCGTCTCCAGGGCCTAGTACGCTTCTCAAAATCGGCTATCCCCATCTTACTGCTCTGGAACAACGTTCATAGCTGTCCATTCTCATCAGACCTGTCCTGAAATCTCTTCTAGGAAAAGCTCACTGGCAATTTTGAGCCTAGTTCGCTAACAGCTTTCGGTCTACGCGTCCTCCTCAAGCTTGCGGAGAACTTTCAATGCGTTTATTAACTTAACTGGCAGATAGTAGACTCAAATCAGACACGTACGCTCCACTAAACCAGACCCACCAATGCACAACGCAATATTATACAATAAGATCTATTCGGTCCTCCCCGAATGAGGCATTCGCCTGCTCACTATTCATCCCGGCTCATCCTCTGATAGGATCAAGTGCGATATACTAATGGCTACCCTCACAGATCTACCTCCATTTTACTATGCCTTGTCTCACCTTTGGGGGTCCGGCTTAGAAAAGGAAAGCATACTCCTCAACGGTGAAGAATTCTACGTCAGGAAAAACATGGCAGAGACTCTCTGCTGCCTGCGACGAGCAGAACAACACGTGACCTTCTGGGTTGATGCGCTATGTATCAATCAAGACGATGAGGACGAAAAGAATTGTGCGAATTCCACTGATGGGGAAAATCTATGAAAATGCCGAGAGTCGTTGCGTTTCTGGGCCAACACCAAGATTCAAGCGATACCATTTACAAAATCCTTCAAAGACTAGATCAAGGACAACATGTACTCAACGTACTCATAGAATTGGGCTTTGACGAGGAGTTCATCAGGAATGACGCGCTGAATAAGCTTCTCACACGAGAATATTGGCCCCGTGCTTGGATTGTCCAGGAAATCGTACTCGGTCGTATGGCCGAAGGATACAATGCGGCACCGATCAAGTCTCATTTTTGGCCCTGAAAACTCTTCGTGACAGTTTACCGGGTGGCATCTTTGCATGGACAATCCTTTCAGGAAGGTCAAACAATCACCTAGTCTCCCCTCCTAAATGGCATCCACGATTCCAACAACTCCAAGAGATGGGGTCGACTCTGTCTGCGAATAATTATCCCGACAGCTTTCTTGAAAGCCGTTGCTTGAGCCCTTGCGATCATATTTATGCCTTCTACAACTTGTACTCCGAGGAGATTCGGAATAACATTGAAGTCAACGTTACTGTAAGAAGGACCCACTAGAGATAGTATGCCAAGCAGCCAAAGGTAGAATCAAGGAAACAGAAAGTTTGCGCATCATGACCTTTCGAGGTCGACGATCCAGGCCCGTGGATTTGTGGCAATACAAATTGCCCTCTAGGCGAGGGGTCAGCGTATGAATTATCATCATCATCATCATACTGTATATAGAACGCCTATTGTTGAGAGCTGATTGCCAGCAATTGCCCGCGGGCAGGGACGCGGGAACTCCGGTCGATGCGGTTTGGCGCTTTGCTGATATCAGCAGAAAAGCAATCTTTCGCTGCCGCGCGACCTTGCCTCCCTACCTCCCCCTCGGATACATGACGCACTCGCACAAACTCGCAATATTCAGGAGCCTCTGGCAATGGCGGCTGGATTTATAAAGGGCGCCGATGTCAGCATCTAGAATGGCTAAAGTATGATGGCGCAACAGATTTACACTATCCAGTCTAATCTTTGTATTTCTTCTGTTCGACCTGGGCGGACTGATGATGGAAACAGGATACGATGCAATATTCATAGTGTTCTTTCTTCTGAACCGCTCTATCTGCTTTTTATGCTGATTCCCCTTGTGGCGACTCACAGACGATTCTGAACTCCACAATTCTCCTCAGTGGGGTTGCGACTAATTGCCCCTCCCCAAACGACGAAGCCAGTCGTGCGCATACCGGCCGAGGATGCCATCTTCGATGATCCTGGCCGATTTTCCCTTGAGTGTTTTGCTGTCTCGCTCGCGTTCTTTGTGAGGAAGCTTTTCTGCGCCGACGCTGACCCCTGGCCGTATGTTGTCCGATAGTGGTCCATCGATTTGACGGCCGGGTTGCCGTCTCCTCCCCGCGAGCTTTGCTCTCTTCCAGCAAGCGCAACCATTCACTCACCGGCACGGTTCGAAACGCCAGTCCATGACATCTGAGTTCCTCCAACAGGACCAACCAGGTGAACCACCTGGTGTTCACCAAGTTGTAAACGCTGTCATCCCGGTGGCTGAGGGTAAGCCCAGCGGCGGCGAGCAAGACATGCGTCAGCGATCTCCCGCAGAAAGGCGACGAGGTGATCCACCGGCAGCTAGGAGCACGAGATGTCCAGATCCGGTAATGGCCCCAGTTGGGGCGGATCGGATCATCAAGGGTATGGCTTCCGAGTCATTCCACAGGCCTCTTTCCGAATGACCCGAGACCTGGCCGACCCGCACGGAATAAGCATGGGCTCCTGCTTCCCGGGCGCGGCTGACTAGCTGTTCTCCGACAAATTTGGAGCGGCTGTACCCCATGTCCAGCGCGCAATTCGGCTCCATCGGGATCTCTTCGATCTCGGGCGCAGGCGAGGCGAGCGCGGTAGAGACGGAGGAGCAGAAGAGGAGCACCGCGGGGGCTGGCGCATTGACGGACAAGGAGAAACTGATCAAGTTGTGAAGGCCTTTGACGTGCGGCTCGAAGCTCGGGAGTGGCAGCGTAAAGTTCACCGGCCAGGCGACATGGATGATGAGGGACACCGATCGCTTCATCTGGTGCAAGAGTTTGTCGCCCACGCCGAGGTCGCTTTGTGCGAGATCACTCTGCAGCGCGACAATCCGTTCGGCCCAGGCGGGCGGGATGATAATCTGTTTCCGGCGGAGGTTGGGGAAGAGCGTGTCGTGCGGGTTCGACTGTCTGGTCAGACAGTACACGGTGGTGATAGTCTCATCCGCCAGCAAGGTCTGGAGCAGATGCGCGCCGATCGATCCGGTGGCGCCGGTCAAGATCTGCCTGGGTCAGTAGATATACGAAAGTGGACAGCCTAGTACGGCTTCGATGCGTCTGGATAAGCCAACGTACTGCTGCTTTCTCGTTCGATCGAGCACCCGAGCCTGGGGTGCCAGAGAAGGAGGAGTATTGCTGGACCCAGTCGCGCGCCAAGGCCCATTCATCCTCGTGCTGCGTGTCCTGGCCGTGCTGGATGGCGTAGATCAGCTCCGCCAGCCGAGAGATGTTCCCCGCATCGTACACCAGGTTCTTTGGGACGGTTGCGGCGTCGGCGAACTTGAAGTCTCTGCAGATCTGTCGTCGCAGTTGGATCGCCTGAAGACTGTCCACGCCGTGGGAGTACAAGTCCTCGTGGACTGTGCTGACCGGAAGGCGGAGTTCGTTCTGGCAAAGCTTCAACAGATGGGCTGCGATGTCGTCCACACTTAATTGCAGCGCACCAGACCCGTCGTGGCAACGGCTGTACATCTTTGCTGATGTCGTCTTTGTAGTCGTTGTATACCTGCGCCCGGATAATCGATCCTTTGTCGGTCCGCGGGCAGGCCGCCCCTGCCGGCAGCACGATGACTATCGCCCGCGAGATGCGCGAAAACTGTTCCGCCCAGGCGTTGGCCTCTTCCACCGTGGGCCAGATGTGGTCGAGAACTTGCTCGGCTGGGGTATCTTGGGCGGCGGCTGCACGGAAGATCAACAGCTCCGGTTCGGCTTTCTGCACGCCTACCACGACGGCCTCGTCGACGAGGGGATGTTGGCGTATGGTACCTTCGATGCGAAGCGGTAGCACCTTTTCACCGTTGATAAGCGTGACACAATCGTCGCGGCGGGCGACATACTTCCACCGCTTCGGGTGTATCGGGTGCTGGACGAAAAGGTCACGTGAATAGTAGGAGCCATCGTCTGCGTTCGAGGCGCTGAGGCTCGGATGACCGGGCAGGTAGACGCACTCGCTCACCCACTTCATTCGGACAAACCGCTGAATATGGTCGAAGAATTGCAGATAGCTCCAATCGTGGTCGTCCGTCGGGCGCGAGATGGACTCGGCCACCAATCCTGCCCTAGTTCTTAGAATCATTAGTTATATGCCTACTCACCGTGGTGGGAATAGGTTTGACGTACGACCCGAGAACTCCCCCGAACCTAACTCCCTTCGCTACCAGCTGGTCCCGTAGATGATCCGGACAAGCGCCGCCACTGTATGTCACCATTTTACATGCTTTCAGCATCGTTATGCCTTCTGGTTCATCTACCAGAAGCTCAAGCATGTACGGAACGATTTGAGCAGATTCTGGCTTGGCTTCCTTCATGGCCCGAACCAATGACCTTGCCGTCATCGGGATTTCTGCATCCCATAGAAAATGCGGTTTTCTGCGCATACATCGCCTGTAACGCAGTTGCCAACCCAAGCCCATGGTACCACGGGAGGGGGCTGAAAACGCTCAGACCACGGCTCCCTTGCATCTGAGATATCAACACCTTGTGGGCCACGTAACGTGGGTTTAGGACACCAGTTGAGCCGGATGAATGGAGAATCAGTGCTGTGTCATCTTCTTCGACGTGAGGCAATCCGCAGTCAAGCTCATGTGCCACAGGATTCTCGGTGTGGCCTGCGCTGGTGGCATTGGGCAACGATGTGATTGGCCAGGCCGTAATTAGCCTCAAGCTTGCAATTTCGCCGATTGTAGCCCGCATGGCAGGATTTTGGCCGTACAGAACTTTGTTGCAGGAGACCTCATCCAGTAACGCCACACAGGCCACTGCCGAAAGACGTGGGGATAGCATCATGACGCTATAGCCTAGTCTGCTTAGCGAGAAGAGGGTGAGGACCATGGTAAGATCGGACGAAGCCAGAAGCGCGATTTTTTCGCGTCCCAATCGGCACTTGTAATGTTAGCATCGTATCTGCCATGCCGACAGGTTGCAAAGTATACCCACAGGCTTAATCCCAGATCTTATCAAGTCTGGTGTTTTGCGGTTTATCAACTCATGGAGGTCTTTTCCGGTAAAGTAGGAGTACGTGAGTACAACGCGCGGCAGGGGTACCAGCCCTTGACAGATGGAATATCCACTGGCGCTGGAGAGATGGCTGATAAATGGCGAGGTCTCTTCTCGTCGGATCGTGAGTTGACCGGGAACCCCCCCCCTACCTTTTTACCCTGGACTCTGGAGTAGCTCTAGACAAGACTGGTGATGATAAAGGCAATGTGTGCTTTCGCGGGAGCCATCTCGAAGAGAAATCCCAAAAATAGAAAATGGAAGGGACCAAAGTTGTGCCCGACGTCCGTCACGTCAAACAAGCGCTGCACGTAGGAGAGAGATACTGCACCAGTCCATGTGGTTTCTAGGGTAGGCTGGATCAACGTTGCCCACGTGCAATCGGCCTTTGCGCTCTGATCTCATAAGCAGAGAATATAGATACCAACGTGGAGTCTGAATCCTCGAGGCTAGGAAATGCCTACCGATAATTGGTTACCGAAATCCCGGGATTGATCAAACCTTGGTTAGCTGGGCCAATTACACCGGACAAGGAGTCGAGACTGGAGGGTCCTGCCTCTAAAGCTGCTCCAGAAATTACTATGACTATTGCTTGAACTTGTATCTTTCGATGGTCCTAAATTGAGATTGGATGACTGATGGCTTCCGGAACCCCAGATCACATGGTCCAAGCTGAGATCCATTCTATATTATCAGGTGGTGATGTGATAACGGATTCTGACATTCATAGATGGGCTTTCAATTGTCTCGGATGGATGAAAACAGGATTGGGAGTGGATATTCAGGGAAAACACAATCTAATTGATCTGCTGCAGGTGGACTACATTGGCCCCCTTCTCAAGACGAATATGATTGCAAATAAATACAACGTATAACTTGAGACTAACTGTGATATTAAACGGTCCTGTAATGGTAGATCTAGCGTATCCTTTCCCTTCGACCGTCCAAAATTCAAGTATAAGCTGAAAGAAGCCATCTAACAATGAATGAACGTATTGTGGTAGCCGTGCGTCTATAGTAGGAGTAGGGTCTTACATCCAAATAATGCCCGCCACCACGGCCACCATCATCCAATATTCATATGCACGGACTCCAAGGTGAGCTACAGCCGAATCAGCGGCAGTTGTCCCATTTGCCAGGGTCCCGTTTATATAGATTGATGTCGTGCTGTTCACATCAATCACTACGACCACGCTCGTATTCTTGGGCTGAGTTCCATTGAACAGAGACCCATAGAAGGTGCTGTTACTATTCTCATCACACCCACATTCCAAGTATTGTTGGCAAATACAGTTAACGGGCATCGACTCGTTTTTGTGAGTGGTGTCATCGACATAGTGATAGTGATAACTGTAGGGGTAGACGTACGCCCCGTATGCCCAGCGACCTGGGAAATAGAGGGGTACTGTAGCTGCCGGCAAGAGGTAAGGTGTCACTCCCGAACGCGACTTTGCCCCCGAAGTATAAGGAGCGCTGGCACCGCCGGCATAGTAGCCACCACCCCCATACGCAGGACGGGTTCCAGAGCCACTGCGGGATGAGCCCCCAACGTTGCTTGAAGAGCTAGCGGGGTATATTAGTTTCGAAGTTTCCTCGATCAACCGGCATTTACTCACCTTGTTCTAGAGCTACTCCCACAATTGCCTGTGCGTCCACTGGCAACCCGACCGCCACTTCCTCCCCCACCGTGCCCTCCCCCGCCTCCACGCCGCTTGACTAGATCTGACCAAGAGGAGGAATCTGAAGGAAGAGTTGCATCTTCGACCGCAGGCGGAGTGCTGAGTGCGGTAGTGAATGTGATGAGACAAAGAGCCAGCGTAGTGACGACTGTCAAGAAATTCATAGCAGCTGGAGTAGTGCGAAGGATCGATGATTAAAAGGATCGTTGTTGCGCATCAACACGACAAATCATGCAAGGTGCTTGCTGGGATAATGTAAGCTGCGAAGTGGGACACTGCAGGGAACTGACAACCAATGCTGACGGATTAAAATAATGATGTTATATCTGTAGAAGTTGATATAGTGGGTACTGATAAGGGTTGTGAAAGCAGACAAGCAAGAATAAAGAGCCTTTCAGTTTTAGAAGAATCAAAGGCTCATCATAGTAAGGTACTTGCGAACGAAGATGGGATAACTTTTCGGTGAAGCTTGTGCTATGCATGAAGCCCTTTCGTTAATCCCCAGGTTGGCGAGGCCTAGTCTTATTTCTCCAAGCGTTCCGGTGTCCCGGAACACTAAGAATGCAGTAATAGCATCCGGCCTGCCGAATGCAAGCTCAATGACCGTCATATGGTTGAGAAGGACTTGGATGTTGACTAAGTGTCGGGCACAGAATCGTGTCTCTGCGCGCGATCCTCCTACCACATGCCTAGAAGTACACAGGAATAGGATCTACAGGTTCCCGGAACGGTGGCTCGCTCCAGGATGACGGGCAAGGCTTCTCGGAACATTTGCCCGGTTCCCAAGAAATCATTCCGTGGTTCTCGGAGTACGGTCTCTCCTATGTTCTATGTCTTCTTTCTCGGGAGCGGCTATTTGGCCGGCCCCCCTCCCCCCCCTTTTTTTTTTTTCGAAATACAAAACACAGTCTACTACAGGCCTTGATCTAAAAGTGGTCGGGAGAGTAATAGTTTACGTCCAATGGATATACATGGAGAGCATCAATAGTGGATCCCTGCATGTCGCCTAAGGAGTTGAAAACCTGGACTGAGATACAAGTGTGATAATGGGTCTTCACTATCGAAGGGGTTAGGTATAGCCCGTTATACCTATAGTGCTGCCTTATCCGGCTGTCTGGCCTCCTGTATTTGGTAGCCTAGTCAGGAACTGCCAGACACACATCGTAATCGGATACGACATGGTATCATCTGGCAGCCGGGTAAGTCGTTTCTTAATAGGAATATCGAATTTGGCTGGCACTACGGCCGCTTATGAAGGGCATCAGGGCTTGGCCGTTCAAAGGAAAGGATACCTTCACCATCGCCTTCTCCCTTGGAGATCCACCATGAGGCCTTTCTGCCCTGTTCGCGAATGCGACGAGCAAGTCGCTTCTTCTGCGCGCTGAGACTTGCAGCTATACCTGACTGCCGATACATCCGGTACCGCTTCCGAGCTAGGTGGAAACCAGCACGAAAGCTAACATACGTCAAGAAATGACTTGACTACAGTACGTACCTACCTTGATAAGACGAGATGAAGCACAGGGTTGTATTGATTGCGAATGCAGGGGGTCCTAGCTCGCAGCACATGACCCCGAGATTCACCGGTAACTATAACTGAAATATGAGGGCTCTAGAGAGACGAAAGGTGCTGCAGATCAGTATCCGGACATCGGCGGATGGAAGGGTAATACGGGACGAATTTGAAACATAGCCACAGAGGCTGGGGACTGCTTATAAATATGCGGCCTTTGCAGTCATGAGTCCTGAATTACCTGGGGCATCCACAGCTGGCCACCTTGAAAGCACCTTACGTTCGTCATCGACAGCGACACTGTACGCTGCGAGATCCGCAAGTGAAAGAAACGTCGTCCTACCGCTCTATGCGTGGCCGTAAAGATGATGCAAGCATCTACAGTCGCTCGCCCGACTCCCCCAAGCTGGGATTACTATCACGAGCACCACCCGTGCCCCGCCAGCGGGCTTTGATCTTCCGGACATCAACCCACTCGACCACCAGATTGCCTTGGCCCGTGGGTCTACAATGGCGCTCAACACCACGCGCACACGCCTCCAAGCAGTCAAATCTGCTCGCCGACGGTCTGTTCCTCAAACGCTGAAAGATAAGCGACAACGGTGGGAGCAGCAGGAGCGCGAGAATCAATTCTACGAGTATTGTCTGCACGTTTTTCAGAATATGACCGCTGTGGCAATCGATGTATCGCAGGAGCTGTCTCTACTTCAGCTTTTCGAGCCCGAAGTCAACCTGGCCGGCCACCCTCGCGTTTGGGAAGCAGCCCAGAAGCTACGTGACGCGCTACGGCAAGTACAGAAGCGGGAGGCAGTGGCGGAGTATGAGTGGAAGAAGCAATGGAACATACCGCACATGGGGATGCCTTCGTCCCAGTGGGTATGATGCGCATTGGTGAGTACGGGGTCCCGCTTTGTCGAGAAATATATAGCCCGACCTGGTATGCCACAGAAAGGTATGTTCTTTTATATACAGTACAAAAAAAAAAAGTCAAACAACGAAGAAGACAGACGACAGACGAAATCAATCCCCCAAAACTTCCTGTCAATGAGTTTGCAATCTTTTCGTGTGCTCCTGCACCAACCCCAAGCGCCGGCGCGCATAGTATATGTCCGCATCTGACACGCGCTTTTCTCGCTTTAGAAACAACATCACGTCCTCCAATGTAGCAGACAACCGGCTTGGGGCACTCCATCATCAGCCGGTTGTGTTCTACAATCCATCGGGCCATTACCATCTGTGTCGGACGGAGGTCCGGGATCGCACGCTGTATCCAGTCCATCGTAAACAGCCCATAAATCCGGAGTCGCGCAAAGGCCATCTCTTCGTCGGTCAAACCCCACATCCGTTCGACCAGCGTGACTAAATTGAATGCGTAATCCTGAAGGATTCGAGCTTCGTCGATCCATAGCTGCGCGCACTCGAGCTGCGGAGGGGACAAGTACGGTAACACCGTTCGGACCTGATCCAGCACGAGTGGAGGACGGAGGCTGGTTGGCAATTCTGGCAGACTCTGCGGGGACGATTTCATTGCCATGCGCCGTAATAGATCTAGTGGACGCCTGTGCTGCGGCAGGAATAAATGCCTCACCGTTTGAACCTCACGGGCGGCAATTGTTTGGGCGGCCGTGGTGGTATACAAAACTTATAAATTTCTAATGAATGGCCTGAGGAGTAGCTAACGGCAGTTGGGTATTGAGGATACCCGCTGCAACGGATATAAAGAGACGGCTTTTTAATGCCATGCTTTCACCACCCAGAATACAGTCGTCTTGGCCCGTGACCTATTCTATGTCAAACAATTTGCCCGACTCCCCAGCTTTCGCAGGCTGCTTCATTGTTCAGGGGTGGTCAAAGCCGCTTCTCCGCCTGCCTCAGATAACCAGTATTTGACCAGGGCCACGAGGACTCTCGCCAAGTCTGCGCGGTCACGGAGATTAAGTAACCGTTTAATGCTGTCGGGTAAGAAACGCATCACAAGAGCGAGGGTCGAGGGTATCCGAATGCAAATGGGATATCTTTGCGCCAGCGCCAATATCGTCCGGGCACCACCGACCATCTCAGGCGAGGGCTCGGCTTGACCATCCAGGTCCTTTTCGAGTTGTTGGATCTGCTGCCGAGCCATGGCCAGCCCTTTCTGCTGCCCAGAGCGGTATAACCATCTCCTGGCTCTGTGCGCGTTCTGGGCAAAACGGTGCAATCGTTCTTTTTGGCTAGGGGTGGGTTTCGCATGAGCTTCCGTTTTCCTGGTTGAGAGCTCTCGCAGGATTCCAGTGCAATTTTGGCCATAGGTAGCATCAGCCCTCCTCCATTGGATGGGTCTTCAAAATCCATGTCAGTAACAGAACACTCCCCGTTCCGGTAGACCGCAATGTCTCGACCACTTGCGACTCCGAGAAGTGGCGATATCCCCTTTGAGGGCGGGATTGTGTCTTGAACCAAAGGATTGAAATTACAGGAGCCAGTACATGCGGTGTCTTGTTCGGGGTAAGCAAACGCCATGTCCGAGGGTGGAAACTCCCCGGGTAGTCCTAGACTCATCCGCACGCCTGTTGGTGCTGTTTTGGAGCTTGCTTGCTTGCAGTCTGTTGATCGTTGTGTGGGCCATTAGCGACCTCCATAGTCTGATTGAAGAATGGACTAAGACATCAACTAGTGAGGACACGTTCTGAGGTCGGGATAGACGGATTCTGTCTTGTCTGGGCAGCAGTTTGCGAGACGGCTAGTCTTTATCTTTCATCTGGTATGTACTGACACTGTTTCCACATTGCACAACACACAGCATATGACAACCGGCTAGAATCTCCCCATATCATGATGGGCTATTCAACTTTGCACGTATTTACCTATACCCTACCGCCCTTAACCCCACAGCGAAAGCCCGCCGAGAAGCACCGGTCATTATTACAGTATACCACCATCACACAAGTATTCCATCGCTAGGCTGTGTATGATGGAGTAGATGGTCTTAGCAGTTAACTGTCAAAGACAACGGTACAGCCCAACTCGCGAGGAACAACCATCAACTCCACGGACGTTCAGGCAGAGACTGCTCAGCTGTTTTGATAGCAAATCCCGTAAGTGATTAGGGCGTCCAAGCACCTTTAGATTGGGAACTGCCGGCAGCACCGTGTCGGTCAGGCCTGGTGAGCCATAGTCCGCCGGCGTTTCGTGCACGGATGGCTGGGGTCGTTCCCGCTGAATCCGTCAACGAAAATCCGTTTCTGCGTACAGTCGGATGGATGGATGGATGGATGAATGGATGGATGGATTCATTTACCCTGACCCCTCGCTAAGGCGATATGCAGGCTACTACCACTATATGTATCTCTTTAATAAACACTGGTCCTGTACCACTTCTTAAACGAACTTAGAGCCTCGTCGGGGCCTATTGTGGCCTTTGCGCCGTTGATGTTAGTTAGCTGCCCTTATGGCACGCGGCTTCGAAATCGCTGGGATGCTTCCGCAAAATCCAAGACGGCCTCGACTGTCTTAGTGCGCGAAGCGTTGCTGACT